AATAATATGAGACACGACCCATTGTCTATATTAGAATACTTCTCATTGGGTAACAAAGTCGTAATTTTTCATTTTTGTCAAAAAGTGTCTATAGTGGTGAATTATGGTTTAGGTTTTTTTTAATAAAGTTTCAAAAAGTTCTGTGTATGTGGAAAATGTAGTTGATTACCAAAGGTTACAATTTTTATTTTTGAAGACTGCATGGTCTAGGAAGTGTACATTTTTTTTATGGGGCAAGTTTTCAAGGGCGGGTTTTCTAGGGGCGCGTTGACTGCCAAAGAGTGTTGCCAAAGTGCGAGCCAGCGTGTTATTTGATCAGCGTGTTATTTGAAATAGACAATGTTAGCTATCAAGGAGCGACGTTGTTTTTCATTGGGACCTTCGTCCCCTCAAGGCTAGGCCTATACCATCCTAGCTAGTCTAGGCCTAGAGTAGGATAAGGCTAGCGCGACATGCGGACGTTGGTACGTGTTGGTTAGTCTACAAAGTCGCCTAAAGTAATTGATTTTACCCGGCAGAACGAAAGAAGGAAACTCCGCTTTTCAGTCGTCTTAGGCCCTTGTTTTTTGACAAACAATGACCTTTCAGAGGTCAAATTGCTGTCAAGAATATGAATTGGCTGCTTCGCAGCAATTACACTCCACAACGCTGATGAGCGGGAAGCGTATTTTTTTTCTGCAGTATACATAAGCAAATATATGTTTCTTTTAGCCAATCAGAATGTAGGAAGCCTAAAATGACGTCAGATAACTATTGAATAATTAATCAGCAGTGAGACTCGCTTCCTTTGCTGATAACAATGGCTAAACATTCCTCTCGCGTGTTTACAAGGGAGCTCTGAGTCATAAAATGACAAGGGTGGGTTATTGAAATTATTAACAGCATGGTTTCCTACTATATAGGGTGGGTTATTTATTAAAAGCAATCAGTTAGGCCTAACGAGGGAATAGGCTGCGTTATTAAATTTAAACAAGAGCTCTGGCTTACTAACTACAGTGTGGGATATTAAAAGCAATCATTTATGCCTAACTTGGCAACTATAGGCTCAGCACTGGTTACCAAAGATTGTTTTACATACGCTATGCATGGAGTTATAATTATATTGATTTTATAACTCCATGCGCTATGATAGACCTACGTCATAATCATTATCATATTGTTGGCCTAATTATTGCAGACATTCATTATATGATATTGGATAGGCATCTTATATACCTTAGTAGTAGTATTTGAAT